AGGACAGGTGAGCAGGTAGTGAGCGTCTAGGTACTGAGGAGGACAGGTGAGCAGGTAGTGAGTGTCTATGTAACTGAGAGAAGACAGGTGAGCAGGTTGTGAGCGTCTAGGTAACTGAGAGAGGACAGGTGAGCAGGTAGTGACTGTCTAGATGACTGAGGACAGGTGAGCAGGTAGTGACTGTCTAGGTGACTGAGGAGGACAGGTGAGCAGGTAGTGAGTGTCTAGGTGACTGAGGAGGACAGGTGAGCAGGTAGTGAGTGTCTAGGTGACTGAGGAGGAGTTGACCGGGTCTGGGAGACGCTCCTTGACCTGGTCCAGAAGCTCTCTGGAGTGTACTGCACTAACCACGTGGCCATGTCTGTGCACAGACGGTGGTGATCTCTGAGGTAGCTGTGGTCATGGCTCTATGGGGACCACTGTGTGTAGTGTAGTCTCTCTGAGTTATGGTGAGTCTTGTGCTGACTTCCTGTCCCATGGGATGAGTTTTAGGTCAAAGGTTGATGAACACATCTGGGTGTGAGTAGGACAGATGATTTTTTAGGGGCTCCCATACCTCCTCCGTCACTTCTCCCCCATGGCAGACCTTCCTCTTCAGGGAGAGAAATGATTCCCTCAGTCCATAGAAGCACAAGTGGTGGCCAAGCTCGTGTCCCTCGCTGCCCTCCGAGCCCCATTCAGGGATGGGATACATCGTCTCAGTGGTGGTTCCACCCATGTTCCTGGGAAGACACAGCCTTAGAGCTTGCCCTTGGAGACACCCCTCCTCAGGCCTGGGGCGGGCTCTGAGGAAGGTTTTCTGCAGGTCTGCTCTGTGGTGTGGTGGGCACTAGCTGGACTGACACCCGAGTCAGGTTTCAGGAGCTTCTGCCTCTGTAGTTGAGCTGACAGCTGCCATCGTTGTGACGTGTGGCAGGGCGGCCTGGCAGACCACCTTCTAGGAGATGAGGAAGGGGCGGAGCAAAGGCGCTCAAAGTGAAGCTGCTGAGTGTTCCTTATTTGGACATTCTGTGTCCAATTTGTGCAGTTCCATGACGTGGACGTGGGCCATGCGATATCATTCCTCGGGTCTTGGCTTGTTCCTGTCACCTAGACCGTGATCACCTGTCTCCTCTCCTCACAGATGGCTCTGACTCCAGGGACAAACCAAAGCTTTACCGTCTGCAGCTGAGTGTCACTGAGGTGGGGACGGACAAGTTCCATGACAACTCCATCCAGGTGAGCTCTCCTTTGGGGGATAGCACCTGGGCCAGCGCCTGCAGGGGAGAGGGCTGGCTGGAGGAAGGGAAGGCCAAGGGACAGACCACCTACTCAATCCAGGTCGCTTGTCTAGTCTGGGCCCACCTGTCTCTGCTGTGGGGTGAAGACGATGGTGTGCAGGCATCCACACCTCACTCTCCGGCGACTGTGGTGTCATCAGAGGCCTTCAAAATGTTATGGGTTAATGTCAGCTGAGTGAGTCTGCAGTCTGCACTCCTGCTGCTGAAAGAGATACGCCTTCAGTCAAACCACAGGAGCCGAAAACTAAAATGCCTCCTTAGCTTGATAGTGTTTGATGGATTTGATACGATTGGGGAAAGTGCACACGTGCATACATGGCACGCACACACAAAGCCATGGACACACCAGTGTTCAGTAGTATTGCGCTTCAAGGGCAAGTCAGTGTTTAAATTCTGTGGTCAATGTCAGGCACTTGGGGATGAGGCTGCTCTGATTTCTCCTCAGCTGTTTGGCCCGGGGATCCAGCCTCATCACTGTGACCTCACACACATGGACGGCGTTGTGACGGTGACACCAAGAAGCATGGATGCTGAGACATACGTGGAAGGCCAGCGCATCTCGGAGACCACCATGCTGCAGAGTGGCATGAAGGTTCAGTTCGGATCCCTGCACGTGTTCAAGTTTGTGGACCCCAGCCAGGATCAGTCTCTGGCCAAGAGGTCTGCAGATGGCAGCCTGATAGTCAGAGGGCCTCCTCACCACAAGCAGGGGTAAGTCCTGCTGTGTGCTCTCGGAGGAGGGGGCTTCCGGTTTCAGTTTGGGAAATCTCCCAGTGCAGCCTGTGCCTCTGGCTGCGGTTTTTCCCAGTGTGGACGCGTGTGGACATCTTGACTTGGGTTGGTGTCCGACGGAAGAGGGGACAGAAAGGCCTTCACTCATCATCTTCAAGGTGGAAGTTCTGGCTGCTTGTACAGCTCTTCTAGTTTTAGCTGCTACATCAGAACACTTTGATTCATTCTGAAGTGATCGTGTGGGACTAGGGTGTTTTTTATTGAGGTTCTTGATTTCCTTCTCTCTTCTCTCCCCCTTTCTTCTTCCCTACCCCCTCTCTTTCCCTCTTCCTATTAGTCTTCATGAAATGCATTGAGACCTGTTTCTTCTCGTCCCCACGTGCTCACATTGCCCTCGTGGAGTTGCTCATGGTGTTGACAGCACATCCGGCTGGTGGCTGTGGGAGGTGGCAAAGCACACACTGCCTTCCAGGGTTCTGAGGGGCCCAGAAAACTGCTTCTGTTCTTTTCTCCTCTTAGAGCACATACATGCACACACACTGCCGGCTCCGTCCCTGAATGCCTGTCATGGCTGAGCCAGCTCTTTGAACCGCTGTTGTCAAAGGCACACGTTGGGCCATTAGCCACAAAGTCTGCAGTTTGAGTCCACCAGCTGCTTCGTGGGAGAAAGGACTTTTCTGCCTTGGGAGATGTCCAGCTTCCTAAACTCTCTGCAGGCCAGGCTGCCCCAGTCCTCCCCTGATTGGGCAGCAGCAGCCCAGGGAGTGTGAGGGGTGCAGAGTGCTTTGGCTCCACCTTGTGCCTCATCTAGGTATTGCAGTGTGAGTCTCTTCCAGGAAAAGGACAGGAGGGAGTAAGATCAGCCCCTTCAGGAGTGGCTGCTCTCTGTCCAGTGGCCGAGTCTGCTCTGCGAGCTGGGCCCTGGCGTGGAGAAGGGACCTCAGCTGCTCTCCATCACACTGCTTTCACGTTACTACCAGATATCCACCCTGGCCTGAGGCCTTCTCGCAGGAACCCCTGCAGCCAAGTAGATGGGAGAGCTGCTGCGTGTGCTGGCTCCACTGTTGGCCTCTGTGAACAAGGCTTCCATCTTAGCAACTGAATGTTCAGGTCTGCCCCCAGGCCAGGCCACCTTTTCTCTTGACCCACTACTTACCCACGCAGCACGTTTCAGCGAGGACCGCACGTACCCCTGCCTTCCTCTTCTCAGAACCTGTACCTCTGAGCATCCCCGCCCTCCATCATGGGTAGTACGTCCTGTGAGTACCAGGGTAAACTTGGTATTCTAGGACGGTAGTTATAAGTGGAATCAAGACCTGGTCGTTTACATTCCTGTACGGTCTTTGAGAGGAGGTCCCGACCGCTGCGGTGCACCTATGACTCTGACTGGTGACAGAGAAAGGTTGGCTCAGCCTTGGCTGTGTGGTGGACGTAAAGCTGAAGGGCTTCTCCACTTAGACCCGCGCCCACCCGCAGGGCATCTCCTGGTGTGGTGAGGATCTTGCTGACAGTTGTTAGGCTCACCAGGCTCCCAGTCATTGGGTTTGAGCCCATCGCTGATGCCACAATGCTCGTCTGTCTCAGGAGCAGGCTCTGCCTCTTTATTGCTGGCCCTCTACAGATGATGTGACTCCTGGTGTGGTGCTGTGGACTGCTGTGGTTCAAACCCACCAGCCGCTCCTTGGAAGCCCTGTACGGGGTGGCTGGGAGTCGGAACTGACTCGAAGCCATTTCACTCCAGATAATGAGTAATTTTGTGATGTGTTATGCAAAATGTCCTGAAATATGAACATTTCTCATATAGTAGAAATGTTTGCTCTCTCAAATGGCATTATTTTAAAGACTATTATAAGATGATTTTATTGTCTCTATGTTGATTGTTGTTGTTATTGTTGAGTGCTGTCGAGTCAGTTCCGACCCATGGAGACCCTGTGTAGAGTTTCCAAGGAGTGGCTGGTGATCTTGAACCACTGGCCTTGCAGTTCAAAACCAATTTTGCAGTCTAGCACATGATTCCACAGTGCCACAGAATTTGTCCTTTACTTTTCTAATCTAAAGTTATTTTGAACTTTCAGGTTTTTATTGTGAATTGAGTGAAGGTTTACAGAGCAGACCATCAGTTATATATATTCAGTAAATCCTATACTTTGCTTCATTACGTGGTTGCAGTCCCTTCCATGACCCACAGTTAGCAGTATTTACCTCTATCCAGTTTAACTCTTGCATTCCTCCCTGTCTCCCATTACCTTCATCTTGCCTCTGCTGCTAACCTCCTTCTTGTTGTATATTGCCTGCCCTGTCAACCAGTGAATAATCCCTGCCCCCCCGTAGCCATGACAGATTGTTTATTTTATCAAGAAACCCTTTTTTTACAATACTGGTCTCATACATTATTTGTCCTTTTGTGACTGACTAATTTCACTTAGTTTAATGCCCTTCTTTCAGCCATGCTGAGAGGTGTTAAAACACATTGATCATTATTCTTCAACGTTTTGTAGTATTTCATTATTGTATGTACCAAAGTTTGTTTAAACATTCTTCTGTTGGTGGGCACGTAGACTGGCTCCAGTTTTCTGCTCTGTGTCTTGTAGACAGCTTATTGAAGAATCCTGTTTTCTTCCCATTTTGCTCTCTAGGTCTCTTGTTGACTGGTACATTTAATTCATTTACATTCAGTGTAATTATCAATAGGTATCAAGTGATTACTGTCGTGTGTGTGTGTGTGTGTGTGTGTGTGTGTGTGCGCGCGCGCGCACGTGTGCTGCTGGATTCTTTGTTCCATATAATTTTCTATGTTGAGTTCATTTTATTTGTGGGTTTTATTTTGTTTTCATTTCTGCTGTAATAATGTTTACTAAATCTTTGTTTTTCTTTTCAAAATTTTCATGCGCAGGTATATTATTTTTCTCTGAGGTTACCCTGTAATTTAATTTTTTTCTCTGCTTAAAAGTCTGTTTTATTTTGAAATCTACTTGATTTCCTTGCCATTTGGAAGTTCTGTGTCTGCACTGTTCCCTCTTTATGCTTTGTAGTTGACTTCATTATGCATTTGTTACTGCTGGTTCTTTATTTTCAGTTTTGTAGGTTTGTTTTACATTAAATACTGCTACACCTGGATTGAGTTCTGGGTGGTATTGTCATGTATGGTAATCTCAGCTTGTTGTCTGCTGTGGTTGTGTCTCCCACCATTTACCATTTTTTGTGAAGTTAGTCTGGCCATTACAAATTCCTTCAATTTCTGTTTATCAGGAAATATCCTAATTTCATCATCATATTTGAGGGATAGTTTTGCTGGATGTGTGATTCCTGGTTGACAATTTTTTTCTTTCAGAGTTTGTCTGTATCATTCCTTTGTCTTCTTGCCTACATGGTTTCTGCTGAGAAATCAAGCTTAGTTTCATTGGTTCTCCTTTGTAGGTAACTTTTCATTTTTCCTGAACTGCTCTCAGGATTCTTTCCTTGTCATCGATAGCTCCTGCTTGGGGCTCACTCCTCTTCTTGTATACCGTCTTCTTGGGGTTCGTGATGGAAGGGAAGTCTCCTTTGATGTGTGTTCACCCTCTTTCTCGGTGCTTTTTAGTGTCTCTTCCTGTTCTGGAACTTCTATCTAAGTTGTTCCTCTTCATGGTGTCCCATAAACTCTTAGGTTTTCTTTGGATTTTTTTTCATTGTTTTTTCTACAAAAATGGTCAGATTGCCTGTAAAAGAGGAAGGGCACTATGACCTTGTGCCCATGAATACAATAATAAGCTACCTAGTCTATACCCTCCTACTTCTTGGGCAAACACTGGATCCTTGCTGTTTCTGTCAATTGTTTTTCAAAAGCGGGTCCTGTGAGTCGTGCGTGCACACCTGCCCCAGAATGCATGAGGTTGCAGTGAGGTCACTACTCTGAAAGTTCATGTGCCACAAGTAAAGCAACATTATAAGTGTTTGAATGTTGGGATATTTAGCCAATGATTCCTTTGTCTTATTAAGAAGAGACTATATGTCTTGTCATTTGAAAATTATTAATTCTTTGTGTTTCTTCTTTTACCCAAATAGGATCGTTCAAGAGACCACTTTTGATTTGGAAGGAGATGTTCATAGTGGAACAGCGTTGCCAACAAGCAAGGTAGCTGAGTGTATGTCGTGGGTAGAACTGTGTGCTGACTATTCTGGGATACCAGGGAGCCTTCTGCTTCTCTAGCTGCCCAGTTCTCTGTCAAAGCAGACTTCAGCATGGAGGCAAAATGAGGACTGTGGCCCTGTGTTCTGCATCGAGTCTTCTCCCAGTTTCCTTACTCATTGTCCAACTTTCACATGCACATGAGGTGACTGCCACCATTAGGCTGTCAGTGTGTTGTGCTGCGGTGGTTTGTGTGTTGCTGTGATGCTACACGCCATGTCACTGGTATTTTAAATAGCAGCAGGGTCACCCATGGTGGCCACATTTCAGTGGAGCTTGCAGAATCAGTCTAGAAAGAAGGAGAGATGGGCCACTTCTGAATGGTTAGCCACTCACACCTCATGAATAGCAGCAGACATTGGTAGGTGTCATGGCAGATAGCTCTGTAGGTTAGGAGGTACTCAAAGTATGACTGGGGAAGAGCCGCCTCCTCAAAATACAGTTGACCGTGATGGCACATACAAAGTAATGCTTTGGGGATGTTCATTTAGTGATAGGGCACAACTCAAAATGAGAAACAGCTGTACTCATCCATTAACAATTAGAATATGTAACATATGAAGTAAATAACTAGGAAAATTGGAAATTGCCAAATAAAACAGAACGCATGAGGATCAGTATCCTAGGCATTAGTGAGCTGAAATGGACTGGGATTGATCATTTTGATTTAGGTATTTGTATGCTTTACTGTGCTGGGAATGACAGATTCAAGAAGAGTATCGTAGCATTCATCATCAGAAAGAACATTTCAAGATTTTTTCTTTGACGTACAGTTCTGTCTGGTAGGACAATGGCTCTAGTCCTACAAGGAAGACTAGTTAGTACTACTACTATTCAAATACGCACCAACCACTAACGCCAGTGATAATGAAATTGAAGAACTCTACCAACTTCTTCAGCCTGAAATTGATCAAACAATCATCATATGACTTGATGACAGAAATAATGCTGGAGATCACATAATAGAATTTTGCAAGACCAGTGATTTATTCATTTCAAATACATGTTTTAAACAACATAAAAGATGATTATACACTTGGACCTAACCAGATAGAATACACAGAAATCAGATTTACTATATTTGTGGGAAGAAATGGTAGAAAAGCTCCACACCATCAGCCAAACAAGGGTGAGGGGCTGACTGGAGCAGGTCATCAGTGGCTCATAGGGAAATTCAGGCTAAAGCTGAAGGAAATGAACACAAGTCCATGAGTGCCAGAATATAGCCTTGACAGTATCCCACCTGAATTTTAGAGAATATCTAAAGAACAGATTTGGAACATTAGGCCCCAGTGATCAAAAACCAGAAGAACTGTGGGATGACATCAAGAACATTATACAGGAAGAAAGCAAAAGGTCACTAAAAAGACAGGAAAAAAAAGGAAAGACTCTGAAACTTGATCCCCAGCGTAGAGATGCTAAGGCAAATAGAAGAAATGAAAAGCTGAACACAGGATTATGAAGGGCAGCTAGAGAAGGCAGAGTCAGGTATTACAATGAGACGTCCAAAATCCTGAAATTAAAAACCAAAAAGGGGAGAACACATTCCACATTTCTCAAACTGGAAGAACTGAAGAAAAAAAATTCAAGCCTTGACTTGCAATATTAAGTGGTTCTATGGACAGAATGATACAGAAAGAAGATGGAAGGAATATACATAGTCACTGACCATAAGAAATGGACGATGGACAATCATTTCAAAAGGTCTCATATGATACTGAAAGAAGAAGTCCAACCTGAAATGAAGGCCTTGGTGAAAAACTAGGTTTCAGGAATTGATGGAATGAATTGAGAGCTTCCAACAAACTGATGCAGGAGTAGGGGCACTCATTCATCTGTGTCAAGAAATTTGCAAGCTAGATACCTGGCCAGCAGATTGGAAGAGATCCATATTTGTGCCCATTCCAAAGAGAAGTGACCCATTGGAATGTGGAAATCATCAGACAATATCAGTAATATCACACACAAGTAAAATTTTGCTGAAAATTGAATAATGGCTGCAATAGTACATCTACAGAGAGCTGCCAGAAATTCAAGCTGGATTTAGAAGAGGATGTGCAACAAGAAATATTGCTGATGTCGCGTGGATCTTGGCTGAAAGTTAAGAAGATCAGAAAGACGTTTACTTGTGCTTTTTGACTGCACAAAGGCTTTCAGTTGTGTGGATCATGACAAACTGCGGCCAACAGTGAGAGGAATGGGTATTGTGGAACGTTTAATTGTGCCGATGTGGATTCTTTGTCTAGACCAAGAGGCACAAGACCAAAGGAGGGAGCACTGACTAGTTTAAAATCAGTAGGCATGTGCCTGGGATGCACTCTTTCACCACCCTTATTCTTTCTATGGCCTCAGAAAACAATCCGAGAAGCTGGGTTCTCTGAAGAGTAGCATGACGTCAGGATTGGAGGAAGACTCATTAATAACCTGTGATATGCAGATGATACAACCTTGCTTGCTGAAGGCGAAGAGAACGTAAAATACTTACTGATGAAGATCAAAGACCACAGCCTTCAGTATAGATTGCACCTCAGTGTAAAGAAAAATCCTCACCACTGGACTAGTAGATAGCATCATGACAAATGGAGAAAAGATTTAGGTTGTCTAATACAACTCATGGAAGCAGCAGTTAAAATATCAAACAACTTGTCATTAAGTAAATCTGCTGCAGATGACCTTTTTAAAGTGTTCAAGAGCAAAGATACCAGTTTGAGGAATAGCACTGTGGGTTAATGCACCAGACTGCAAAGCTGTTTGAACTGCGAGGTTGGCGGTTCAAGCTCACCAGTCGCTCTTCAGAAACCAACTCGACGGCACTTAACAACAACCTGACCCAAGCCATGGTATTTTCAGGAGCCACGTATGCATTTGACAGTTGGACATTGAATAAGGAAAACCACAGAAGATGCATTTGAATTATTGTGTAAAAAAAGGATATTGAAAGTACCATGGACTTCCAGAAGAACAGACAAAAATCTGTTTTTGCAAAGTGCAGCCAGAAGTCCCGAAGAAGCAATAACCTCGGGCATGTTCTCAGGAGGGATCGGTCCATGGAGCAGGACTTCAAGTGTGGGCAAGTGGAGGGTCAGTGAAAAAGAGGAAGACCCCAAAAGAGACGGATTAGCATGTGGCAGCAGCAGTGGGCTCAAACATAACATCAGTTGTGAGGATGGCGCAGAATTCGACAGGGCTGTGTTCTGTTGTGCACAGGTTCGCTATGAGTCAGAACTGACTCCATGGCACCTAACAACAAAAATGACAACAGGACACGGTGATTGAAAAGACTTTAGCTCGGATCAGGTGCACCTTAGTCTTCAAAGCAACAGCTTTGTTTTTTTAAAATTCATTTTAGGTATCTTTTGCCCTAGATTTGCCCAGTGCAATACACCATTTGATTTCTTGATTTTTGCTTTCATGAGTGTTGATTTTGGCTTTAAATAAATTGAAATCCTTGACAACGTCAGTCTCTTCTCTGTTCCTTGTATGTTAATGGTCCATTCTCATGTGGAGAGTCATTTTACTCTTCCTCCCTCTCTCTCTCTCTCTCTTTCTCTTTCTTTTCAAGTTTTTATTGTGAATTGAGGGAAAATTTACAGGGCAGATCATTAACAAATCATTTACTTTGTTTCATTACAATGATTATAATCCCCTCCCTGTACCATCAGTTAACAGCATTTCTCTCTATTCATTTTAGCTGTTTTGTTGTTGATTTTTAAATGCTCAGGCATTTTAAATAATTTACACCACCAAAGGGCACGTTCTGCAGGCCTGCCTAGCTGCCAGCTCGCAGTCCCTCTAATTCCATGAATCTAGAGTCCTCAGCTGCTCCCTCTCCTCTCTCCATGTCCCCATCTCTGCCTCCATCTCTGGTGTCACTGCTTCTCTGGATAAGGTCCCGCATTCTGCTTGTGCTCTTCTCCCTGGATGGGCCTAGGATCCTCTGTTTCTGGACTGTAAGATTAACTGCTCTTCCATTTTTGTTACAAAACTTCTACCTTTACAGTTGTGACAGTTGCAATTAGTCATGATAACAATTACTCACTATTGAATCACAAGAATTTTGCCCCCATCTCTTTTCACCAGACCCATCTAGACAAGATGAAGATTATTCAGTGGGGACTCTATCTTTCCCCAACCGCTCTTAAACTAAACTCCCTCTTGAAAACTTGTAAGCCAGTCACTTCGTGCTTTCATTACCCCCTCATTTTAGGTAGCCAATGTTTCTTAAGTGGCCCGTCCGTCTTTACCCTGTATACAGAGGGAATAGCACTGATAGTCTTGATGTGAAGACTCCTTCCCTCTCTGTTGGTATTTTGAGCTACTATATCCGTAAGTATAGTTCACGTTCATCAAATTGTATCAAGTTACCCTTGTTTCCTTTATCAAAAATTGTTTTATTTTATCTTCTTCTAGTCAAATTCTGATTACCAAGCCATTGATGCTAGGTCAGATGGGTACTATCTGCAAGTTTGGGTGTTCTTGTGCATTTATCTCCCCTCACTTCATATCAGCTGGATGCTTCACTCTCAGCTCTAACCCTCTGTGGCTATGTCCTTGTCCATGGGTTCAGGTGTCCCAGGTCTCACCACACTTTGGACCAAACAACCCTTCCTCTTCTCTCTCTCATCTCTAGGTCTATTGGACGTGGTTGAACTCAGCCCATTTCTTCATTGCTGCCATTCCCCCTCTTCCACTCACCAGTAGACCAATGTGGTCGCCATCAAGCTTAGATGCCTGCTCATGTGTTCCCTTTGAGTTTCAGTCTTAGAGGGGGGTTTGTCCTGAAGGAACTTGATTGCTTGTCTTGATGGCTTCCCAGCGAACAATTTACTTATTCTTGTAGTAGCCAATCATACTACCATTTTTGTTTTGGGTTTTTCCTGTTGATCATTCTTTGAAGATGTATCTTCTGTCACTCTGGCTATTCTAGGCTGGTCTGCTTGTCCTGTATAGTGGGAATGTCCCACCTCAGAAGGTTCTGGATGGGGCTCAGGATTCCACCTAAGGTCCTATACACTGCAAAGGCTCTGCAAGAGGCCTATTTCATTGGGCAAGTTGTAGAAGCCCTTTTAGGTATTCCAATAAGTTATAGGCTGAACATGGGCTTACAAGCTTTCTGTAATCACGTTTCCCAACATTCCTTTCTATCCCACTCAAGTGTCTGTTTTACAATAGTAGGCAAAGGAAACCAGTGTTCATAAGACGGTCCAGCATCTTAACATTATTTCCCCTCTTCAGGCTGTGCCTTGATCCCTGTATCACCGAGCCCTGTTTTTCCAAGGTGGAGCATGCATCACTGCTTGCCTCGGTCCCATTTAGCCCTTGCAGATCTCACTCTGTGTTCCCCTGTCTATCTTGTTTTTCCCTCCCCAATACCCAAACTATGATGTGTCTGCCCCCTACACTGTGCTCTACCATCCTACCATCGCCTCCCTCCACCTCCCCTAAACCCCCCCGCCCCACCCCACTGGTAACCACTGAAGAATGTTTTTCCCTTTTTGTGTGGGGGTCTGGTCTGCAGAGTCATTTTTATTTTGTCTTTTACTGTCTATCCCCGGTGGAGGCAGAGCCCTTCTCTTAGCGGATCACTGCTGCACTCTTCTGGGCTTCCTGGATGGCAGTCTGTCAGCCTTGTTGGTGGCTCTGTGGTCGCTGTACATTGGACTTCCTGGTTGCTGATTTGCAAGGCTCCTGCCCAGTTCACCTCATTCACTGCATCAAGCAGGTGGCAGGCTCGGCCCCGGTCCTCCTGTGTCATCTGCTGCCCAGGACCCTTTGTGCCGTCTTGTGAACACTATTTTCCCAATCTTGTTCAGTGCACATCTTCTCTCGTTTCTCGTTCACATTTGATCCGGAGTCCTGTTGGGTGAACGACCCGTGGCCCGCCCCGACTGTCAGAGCCAGCATTTTGTTTCTCCTCTGATCTTTCTCATTGCAGCTCGCTGACTGTGGGTGCCCAGCTCATTGCTTGCCCTCCTGTACTTCACTGCTGACATTCCGGGCGTGGGTCCAGATTGCAGATTGGGGCCCTCCTCTGTGTGTGCGTCTTCCCTGACCTCTCCTCAGAAACTTGTCGAGTCCACCTGGAAGGCTGTTCCTTGTGTCCCATTGAGCAGAGCTGAGGCACAGAGCTCTTTCCTTGAGCACATTTCTTCTTCACTGGTCCTTCCTCATATCTCAGAAGGTCTCCCCGTGCACAGTGTTGCTCTGCCAGCAAGCTGGTAAGCGTAGTCTGTGACCCGTAGTCTGTGACCCGTCCCCCCAGAGGCGAGCACACTCTGCCAGCTTCAGCTCTGGAGCCGCTGGCGTGTGTCTGCTGCTGGAGTGACAGTTTCGCAGCCCAGGAGCCCTGCAACTTCCTGCTTAGCATCTCTGCTCTGCTTATCTCTGCCCTCCATCCTTCCAGCAGCGAACTTGTAAAGTGCTTGTTAGCCTCTTGCCCCCAGTGAGAACAGAAGCTTTGTCCAGGCTCTGGTTGTGTTGTGTGTGTGTGAAGAGAGAGCACGGTTTAACATTACAGTGGCCCTAGTCTGTGAACAAGGGCTTTGGGCACCACTGCATGGATTCTGGTCTGGGTTTGTGTGCGTCCCCGATGGGGAGCTCATGCTGTTCTCCTCCCCCAGAGCACCTCCAGGCTGGATTGCAGCCGAGGCCCCTCTGCCTCCAGCACAGCCGAGCGCGGCACGGTGAAGCCCATGGTCAGGGTGGAGCAGCAGCCAGATTACCACCGGCAGGAGAGCAGGTAAGAGCACCACCCTCACTGCGGGGAGATCACAGGGCTGCACCCCTCCTTCTTGGCCCCAGTGTGACTGGCAGTGGCTCTGGGTAGCTTCTGGGATGGAATGTTTGAGGCGCTGCTCCTCCTCACGTGTGTGAAGACCCCCTAACGCAGGGGCCTAAGTGGCCGGCCGGCCGGTCCCACTGTTGATGCGGCTCTGTGCCCACGTGTGGGGAGAGGGTGCTTTCTGCTTGCCTGCTCCTAACCACCGCTTGGTGTTCCTGTGAATTATAAATGTGTGGTCTCGGAAATCTAAGCCCTGATATTAGTCAAGGAAAGCCGCCTTCTGAATTGATGGGCGTGTGATATGTTGTTTGTTTCAGTGAGAATTAGAACTAATTAATATTAGCAGATTTGTTAAAACTAAAAGACCATTGATTAAGTTTATTGAGGCTTATTTTGTGGGATATGGATTTGTAACTATTTATCTGCAACCTAGCTGTTGAAATGACAGTTTGAGACAACAGAGCACCAAAACCCTAGATTGTCTTAAACACGCACTGATAATTCATAGCTGATAATAACTTTAAAGCAAATAATTTGAAGAAAATTTTTTTTTCACGGCATATAAGAACCACAATGATGAGATGTCTCCTCTCCCATTTCCCTTTGCGCCTTTTGATGTACAGAAAGTGGAACCGCGGGGGCTGTTGGGAAAGAACGATTTGAATTAGTCTTTTGATTAGTCAGCCTGTAAGTGTCCTACACCTATAGTCACTGTGGGCTGGCCTTCTTCCTGCTTGAGGAAAAGCCTCTCATTATGTGAGCAGACAGACTGTAGGCAGTGCAGGTACCTCACAGCCGTCTGAGATGAGTAGATGCTGCTGCCTCTGGAAAATCGTCGCCCTGAATCCCTCAGATGTTCTGATATCTGTTGGCTCTTCATCTCACAGACACGGAGGCGTGTCAGGACAGATAGGGCTTCCGTGTGGCCAGGGTCCATGGTGAATTCCATAGATGTTGTCATGCGGGGTCAGCCACTTCCGTCTCCCCAGCGAATTGTCCATTTGGTGTTCTTACCTTTTAAAAGACTCATGTTTGGAGAATGCTTCTGGATCATCCCTGTTACATCTCAACTCTATGCGCTTGACTGTCCTTTAGCGGAGAACTGTTACAGACACAATACGTCTCATAGTAGTCAGAACAGTAATTAGAAGGCTCAGGTTTCAGTTGCACGTCTAAGTGAAAGGGTAATTATACCAAGCCTATGGGTAAAGCCTGTGGAGATGAGGAGGTGCCACCTGCATTTCTGCATGTATCTTACACAGTTCTGAAGTCGGTGCTTGTTGGTAGCCGTCACAGTGTCCTGACTGTGGCGTCGACACCAGTTCAGAACCATCCTGTCCGGGATAACCCTGGTGGACATGTATCTGGATCTGTTTAGCTACTGAGACAAGTTTTACCAAACATGGTTACCTACTGAAGAGCCCTTTTGTAGAAATGGGACTATCCCTAACAGTTCAAATGATTCCCTTCTAGATGTCTGGTCATCTGTAAACACTGGTAAAATGCTAGTTCTTAGATGGTCCACAGTCAAGTCTTTATGTGGATGTTTTGAAAGTTCTGTATCTTGGGGGTGCTGGGCTAAGGGCGGGAAAGTGCTGATGGGACCCAGCCGGCTGAGCAGTATGAGAGGAGCATCTGTCCCAGTGGGCGCTGCCACTTCATCCACGGTCCGGGCACAGCTGAGTGAACTCAGCCAGCGGGGCTGCGCGGCGTCCCTGGAGAAGATCCAGTTAGCTCGCAGGAGGATCCTGCTCTTTTGTGCTCAGTTTCTCGCTGCCCCCTGAGCCAGAGCCCTAACAGGTGCCTATCAGCCTGGGCTTGGCAGCGTCCCAGAGCCTTGGTCAGGTGCAGCCTCGGGTGTCTGTCCCACTCTGCAGGCTTCTGTACGTGGCTATCATGGGAGCGCTTTCTGGGGCAGCTCGCACATGAAGACCAGGTAGAGTGCTGGGCCCTACTGGACATTGGGACAGAGAGCTCTAGAAATCGTACAAGCTGCTTCAGAAGCCTGCACAGCCTATGCTTGATCCTGTCCGGACGTGACCGGATTCTAACCCCTGGTCACTGCTTTCTTTTAGAAGCCAGGGTGCTCCTGGGCCTGAGTTGATGCTGCCTGCAAGCATTGAATTTCGGGAAAACTGTGAGTAATCTCAGAATCCACTGCTCACCTGTAATTCTGGGATCTGTGTGTTTCTGCATTGGGTTTTCATGGAGCCCTGGGATGGCACTGCAGGATAATGTGTTAGACCGCAAGGTCGGCTGTTCAAACCCACCAGCTGCTCCTCGGAAACCCTTTACAGGATCATTATGGGTCGGAACTGACTCAGCGGCACTTAACAGCAACAACAGTTTTTGTTTGTTTGTTTGAAATCTTTTCACAGCTGAAGATTCATTTTTGTCTGCCATCATAAATTATACTAACAGCTCCACGGTCCACTTTAAGTTGTCACCGACCTACGTACTCTATATGGCTTGTCGGTATGTATTGTCAAGCCAGTACAGACCTGATGTCAGCCCTGCCGAGAGAACCCACAAAGTCATAACCCTAGTTAACAAGATGGTCAGCATGATGGAAGGCGTGATCCAGGTGAGCCAGGCTCCTGCATGGGGCTGTGGGCAGGCGGACTTTGCTTCAGTTGCTACCTTCAACCTTTCTCCTGATTCTCTATCCAAACGTTCTTCCCCCTAAAGTAGGCTATTGTATAAAGAGTACAGCGGGAAAAGATAACTTTAAAATGTTGAAAGGAAATGTAAATGTTTCTCTGATTTGTTCCTACAAATAAAGCAAACGGAAGCTAAACCGTGTGACAACATATTAATCAGAGTCCTGAGAGAATGTGGGTACTGTTTAGGGGTTGGGAACAGTTCCAGTGGCCCTAATTGGAAGTGTAGGAGTTGTTTGGATTTAGGTGGGGCATGGGTAGTTATGAAGCATACCATGAGGTTGTCTGGTTTTAGATGGGACATGGGTAGTTATAATGGGAACTGTGGATTTGTCTGGTTTAGATGGGACATGGGTAGTTAATAATGGGTACTCTGAGGTTGTCTTGATTTAGATGAGACATGGGTAGTTATAATGGATACTGTGAGGTTGTCTTGATTTAGATGGGACATGGGTAGTTATAACGGGTAATGTGGAGTTGTCTGGTTTAGATGGGATGTGGGTAGTTATAATGGGAACTGTGGAGTTGTCTGGATTTAGATGGGACATGGGTGGTTACAGTAGACACTATGAAGCTGTCAGGTTTTCGATGGGGACATGGGTAGGTATAGTAGTTACCATGACACACTTCTGAACGTAGAATGCAGGTTCAGGTCCCATCAGCCACCTGTTTTGAAAATTAGCAACAAAAGTATCTTTCAAGTCCTTAAAAGTAAATTAGGTTTTCCAAAATTATCTGTCTGTTGCTTTTTAAAAACCAACTAAATTCTACTTATGTACCACTGAGTAACACGGTTAGATGTACCACTAAGGAACACGGTTAGATGTACCACTAAGGAACATGATTAGATGTACCACTAAGGAACACGGTTAGATGTACCACTGAGTAACACAGTTAGATGTACCACTGAGTAACACAGTTAGATGTACCACTGAGGAACACGGTTAGATGTATCACTAAGGAACACGGTTAGATGTATCACTGAGGAACACGGTTAGATGTATCACTGAGTAACACGGTTAGATGTACCACTGAGGAACACGGTTAGATGTATCACTAAGGAACACGGTTAGATGTACCACTAAGGAACACAGTTAGATGTACCACTAAGGAAAACAGCTAGGTGTACCACTAAGGAACACGGGTAGATGTATCACTAAGGAACACGGTTAGATGTACCACTAAGGAACACGGTTAGATGTATCACTGAGTAACACGGTTAGATGTACCACTAAGGAACACGGTTAGATGTATCACTAAGGAACACGGTTAGATGTACCACTAAGGAACACAGTTAGGTGTACCACTAAGGAACACGGGTAGATGTACCACTGAGTGACACGGTTAGATGTACTGGCAGCCAGCCAGTGTTCCTCCTGGCATTTGAGGCAAATTGAAATCTTGTAATTAATTCATAATTGTTTTAAAAAGCCAATATTTTTCTAGAAATATTTCTCTCACATTTGAGTTTTTCATGTAATTTGAGTTTCGTGGGTCATGAGTCTTTTCCTCAAATAAGGAAATGGATAACAGGAGAGTCATTTTATCTGGATGCTGTTTTGTTAACTCCCTCAACATCGTTTTATAAACAAATACGGGTTTCTTGTTCAGTTTCCATTCAGAGCCATTGTCTGTGTTCTGTTCTGTTTGGGTTTCTGATGTCTGCTTCACATCCCGAAGCACCTGCCATGACCTGGTTCTGGACAGCCTTCCCCTGACTGAACTGAGCACTGTGTAAATGACCACATAGTATTAGTGATCACAGGCTTCTCTGGGTTCTGGGGAAGAATCATGGGTGTGAACATTTTAAATCTTTCATTTGTAAAAACCTACTTTTATAAGCAAGAGACTTTATATAAGCAAGAGATTTAAAATCCATTGTAAAATTCTTAACTGTTTATTTTTGATCATTGCTACTGGTCTTTCTTGTCTCTTTCGTTTTTATGAATGAATCCCAGGAACGGGAAGAGAAGGCTCTTGTGCAGAGTTCTGCTAGGTAATTGCTCAGTGCATCCGCAGGCTTACACAAGTCCTTCTCTGCAAATCCTTTAAAGAGACCCATCTGTTCATGGTGTTTATTGTAACGTATAATCTGTGGACACTGACTATGTCAGTATTAAGAACACAAAACCAGTCCTTTATGCCATATCTTCGCAGAACTACGTTAGGGCCACAGGTGGAGTGAATTTGGGAATACTGTAACTAAATGTTGTACCTTCGTGTTGTACCTTCATGTTAGTGTTTTGATTTTTTTTGAATGGTCATGATTGTTTACACGTTTCTTTCTCTCGTTCTGCTTGGTTCCCCCTCGTCTGTTTTTCTCCAGGAAGTAGACCAGGTTGATCAGGTAGGACACACTGCTGGGCCCAGCCCGGGCTCTGTTGGCTTAGCTGAGTTTCTCGTGCCGCTTCCATGTCCCAGCGCAGCCCACAGCACCTGAGCTGCGCCATTTATAACCCTCATTCAGCCAGTGAGCCGTGCAGTACTAAACCCCTTGTCGACTGGGCAGCGTGTCAGCATTTCATAATCTCTGCTTACTGCACCTGAGCGTGGATCTGGAGTGGCAGCAGCTCTGTCCCCTCTCTCTGTTACTTCTCCTTGGTTCCTCCTCTCTGGATCTCATCTGAGGTTGCCTGGCCTGCACACGTGGTCGGGAGATGATACGACCCATCAGTACATGATACTGAGTTGCATGGTGTCTGAGCCAGTGACTGGAGGTGTCAGGGTGGTTGTGGGTGACAGTGGACACACAAGTGTGCGCTGCACAGATTACCAGATAACGCACGTCCACATTCGGGCTTGCTCAGTTGGTTGGCTCCAGTTCTCCACGGATGCCCTAAATTGTAGCTCATGCGATCCGCCACACCTGTGCTTGTGAACGCAGGGCTGGTGCAGTGATTCCTGACTCCCGGGTGCGGTGTGTGCGCCCAGATCCTGTGCACATATCTGGTATCTGTGAGAAGGCCCGTTTCGAGGCGGGAAGATCCTGGTCTGCTCTCAGCTGCTTCTCGAGAGCACTCCTGTGTGTGGGGCTGTGCTCGCCCAGGGCTGGCTCAGGGGCCTTTGTTCTGCCTGCAGAAACAGAAGAACATTGCCGGCGCTCTGGCCTTCTGGATGGCAAACGCATCGGAGCTGCTCAACTTCGTCAAGCAGGACCGAGACCTCAGCCGCATCACCCTGGACGCCCAAGATGTGTTAGCCCACCTGGTGCAGATGGCGTTTAAGTAAGAACAGAGTGTTTCCAATGGCACTGTTTTATAAGGATTTCCGTTTTATGAGTTTTAATTTTAAAGGTGGTAATTTTGTCCTGGTGTGGCACTGTGGGTTAATGCGCCAGACTGCAAAGCCATGTGAACTACAAAATCGGTGGTTCAAACTCACCAGCTGCTACTCGAAAAAGCTTATACAGGGTCGCTATGGGTCAGAACCAACTCGATGGCACTTCACAACAACAACAATTTTGACCTGGTGTGGCATTATGGGATAATGCACTGAACCATGGATTTCGTTGATTCAAATCCACTAGCCACTCCTTGGAAACCCTAAACCAGGTCGCTATGAGTCAGAAATGATTCCACAGCATATAACAACAGCAATTTTTCCCTGATGGCACAGTGGTTAAGCACGCAGGTGTTTACCTAGAGGTTGGCAATTTGAGTCCACCCGCCACCCCACGGGAGAAAGATGCGGCTTTCTGCTTCCATAATCTGACAGACTTGGAGACCCAATGGGCAGTCTGTGTCCTACACGATTGCTAGGGGACAGAATTGGCTAGATGGCAGTGACTTAAATTCAAGATGAAACATATGTAAAATATTGCCTTTTAACATGGAATTCAATGAGCTATACTTCAAAAATTCAATAAGTAAAACAATTACAGTAAAACCTGCAGAAGCTGGCACCTGTGGTGGTAAGTGCCATCGAGTCGGTTCCCACTCACAGTGGTCCTGTCCTGTATAGGGTGTCCAAGGAGCAGCTGGTGCTCTTAACCGCTGAGCTTGCAATTCAAACTGACCTTGCAGTGCAGTGCGTTAACCCACAGCGCCACACCAGGACTTGGTGGCGGCGTTTCTACTAATGGAGAGCTATAGATGGGCAATCAGGCTGCCCCAGGAGGCCAAGTTTGGGTTCTGATAGGAAAGTATGTCTGACGTTGCCTTGGTGATACTGTGTGGGACACAGAGCCCAGGTGGTGCTGTGGGCTGCTCACCATAGGGTCAGCAGTTCAACTCCACCAGCAGCTCCATGGGGGACGGAGGAGGCTTCAGCTCTCATGAAGATGTACAGTCAGAAACCATCTCATGTGGAGACTGCTCGGAGTCAGACTTGACTTGAGGGCAGTGCGGGTGTGTGAGTCTTGCTCTGTCTGGTACAGCAGCGGCATGTCGTGCTGAGAATGTTTGGCTTGATGATGAGTTTGCTTGTTTTTAAAGATCTTCCAACAGCCCTTGAGAAGAGAAGAAAGAAGACTTAATTAAAAAGGCCCTTGAGAACAAATCCCTGCTTCTTCCGATGGTTTGGCTCAAGCAGGACGGTGGGTGTCTTAGGTTGTGGGTTGTTAACATGGCTGCTTTCCTGTAGATACTTGGTGCATTGCCTTCAGTCAGAGCTCAGTAACTACATGTCAGCCTTTCTGGACGACCCCGAAGAGAACAATCTGCAGAGGCCCAAAATAGGTTAGGAGTTCCTCTCTCCCCTTTCCCGCCACCCCTTCCTTCCTCCTTCCCGTCAAGTCTCCTGGGCTGAACCTATGTGTTGAGGGTACAGCCTACGACCAAAACGGTTGTCGTGTGTGGCTGAGCTGGGTGTTGTTGCCCTCGCTCTTGTGATCGGACTTGACTGATGTTTCTGGACCTTCTCCCTGGCCGGGTCTCTGCAGATGACGTCCTGCACACACTCACGGGCGCCATGTCACTGCTGCGGCGCTGCCGGGTCAACGCTGCGCTGACCATCCAGCTCTTCTCGCAGCTCTTCCACTTCATCAACATGTGGCTCTTCAACAGACTGGTCACTGAGCCTGACTCCGGCCTCTGCTCCCACTACTGGGGGGCCATCATCCGCCAGCAGTTAGGGCACATTGAGGCATGGGCAGAGAAGCAGGGGTTGGAGCTGGCAGCAGATTGTCACCTCAGCAGGATCGTACAGGTGAGCATGCTGGGTCATGTCCCCACAGTGAGCGACTCTCATGTCCCCACAGTGAGCACGCTGGGCCAGGAACGAGAATCAGGGTGATGATGAGCTCTGCAGACGACAAGTTCTCAAGCTCAGGGGCTACACTCCACCCTCCACCCGCACGGCTTTGCCAATGCTGAGGCCACATCCTGGGTTATCAGACTAGAGAGTGGGGGAGGCCCCATCCTGGGTTATCAGACTAGAGAGTGGGGGAGGCCCCACGAAGGCAGCCCTCTGCAGCCTCAGCCGAGAGCACGGTTTTGTTCTGTTTGTAGTAGACTGTCTTGGATTTTTCTCCATTTCTTTGTAGAATTTGAGGGTAGGAGAGAGTCCTTGGCCTGCGTGGATTAAGTGAGCAGGTTTATAAAGATCACCATGGTGATGCTCTGCACAGCTGCCCACCACGGGGGATGTAACCACCGAGTCTGATCTCAACTGTCCAAGAGACTAAGGGCTTTAGGAACATAAAGCAACTGAGTCAGATATGACATGCTTAGGGTTTGGTTTCTTGTTTTAGTCAAATTAAGAGGCCATCTAAAAATCTCAGTAGACAAGCCTTTACTTCAATTTACTGTTTGTAGCTAATACAAACAGGGATTCTTCCTTAGCCCCTGCATTTCGGAGTGCAATAAGGAGAGAGACTTTAAACCCCTGACGCTTTCTTTCTGTGTGTCTTCTCAAGGCCACCACGCTGCTTACCATGGATAAGTACGCTCCTGATGACATTCCCAGTATAAACAGCACCTGCTTCAAGCTCAATTCCCTGCAACTGCAAGCCTTACTGCAGAACTACCACTGTGCGCCCGACGAGCCTTTTATCCCCACGGTAAGTGAGGCTCGCTGTGTTTCCACGCACTGCCCAGGGAAGTTCAGGGAACCAACTAGGAAAGCTTAGCTAATAAGTTAGCGGATGTATTATCATCTTCAGATATTTTTTTCTGTTGAATTGTGAGTTATATAGTTCAGACCAAAGGAGAAACGGAGTAATTCTTTACAGTCAGAATCAAAGGAGCCTTGATGACGCCGTGGTAAAGCAAAGGGGGTTGTTCCGGAGATCGGGCTCCTGGAATCACTGTGGAAGTAGGGGTCTGAAGTGACCAGAGTATTGCGTTCTAGAACCCAGATCCAGCCCTACAAGAGACACCCTGATGGCAGTAATCCACCAGAGACACCCTGATGTTTCCCCACCAGCGACACCCTGGTCTTCCCACATCAGAGATACCGCTACACTACTGCACCAGACACCCCGATCTTAATCACATCAGAGACATCCTGACATCACCCTACCAGAGACACCTCAATGTTAGCACATCAGAGATACCCTGACATTACCCCACCAGAGACACCCTGATATCACATCAGAGATACCTCAACATTACCTCTCCAGAGACACCCTGATATCAACACATCAGAGACACCCTGACATCACCCCAACAACAGTACCCCACCAGAGACACCCCAGTCTTACCACATCAGAGACACTCCATCATTACGCCACCAGAGACCCCTGACACTATCCCACCAGAGACTCCCCGATATCACATCAGAGACACTCTGACATTATCTCTCCAGAGACACGCTGATATCACCACATCAGAGACCCCTTGACATCACCCCAACAACAGCACCCCGTCAGAGACACCCTGATCTTACCACATCAGAGATGCCTCTATGGTAACCTAAGAACGCTGTGGTATTAACCCACCAGAGACCCCTCAGTTTTACCTCTCCAGAGAAACCCCAGTGTTGCCCGTGTCAAGATGCTACCAGAGTGGTGTCGAGTCATTATGCATGTGCTTATTAGCAGCACCTGCTTTGCCAGGCTAGCCTCAGCCACAGGTGTATAATGAGGAGACAGGACATTTCCTTCCTGAGCAAATCTGGGATATAAAAATTCTCATTAAGTTCCTGAGAGAATTTTGCAGGACCAATAACTTACTCATTGCAATTCCATTTTCAACAACATGAAAGGTGACTGTACACACAGACTTTGCCAAGTAGAATCCCCAGACGGGAGAGAAGCTCAGTATCATCAGCCAACACAGGGCTGGAGTATGACTGCAACAGACCATCCATTGCTAATATACAAGTTCAGCCTTATGCTAAGGGCAGTTCAATTCATGAGATCCAAAATATGACTGTGAATACATCCCACCTGAATTTAGAGACCGTCTCAAGACCAGAGTTGATGCATTAGATACTAAGGATCAAACACTAGAAGAATTAGGGGATGCCATCACAAACATCATATAAGAAGAAAACAAAAGACATTAAGAAGACCAAAGTGGATGTTAGAAAATACCCTAAAACTTCCTCTTGAGCGTAGAGATACTAAAGCAAATGGAAGAAGTGAGGAAGTAAAGGAGCTGAACAGAAAACTTCAGAGGGAAACTGGAGAAGACAAAGAGAAGTGTATTAATAAAATGTGCAAAGACCTGGAATTAGAAAACCACAAGGGAAGAACTGCTCGACATTTCTCAAGCTGAAAGAACGAAACAAAAAAATTCGAGCTAAAACGTGGCAATATTAAAGGATTTTATGTGAAAAAGAAATGGTTAATGGTCAACCATTTCAAGAGGTACCATGTGATCAAGAGCCAGTGATCCAAAAGGAAGAAGTCAGTGTCAAAGAAGCAGGCACTGGGAATAGGTGGAAAATAAATTGAAATCATTCAGCAAACTCATGCAGCACTGGAGGCACTAGGCTGTGCCAAGATATTTGAAAGACAACTATCTGCCAACTGATTGGACCATATCTGTATTTTTGCCCATTCCAAAGAGACGTGACCCACCAGAATGTGATAATCATCAATTGATATAGATATCCCATGCAAGTAAAGTTTTATTAAAGGTAATACAAAATGGCTGCAAGCATACATTGACAGAGAATGTCCAGAGGTTCAAGCTGGGTTCAGAAGAGAACGTGGAATGAGGGATATCATTGCTGACGTCAGATGGATCTTAGCTGAAAGCAGAGAATACCAGAAAGATATTTACCTGTGCTTTACTGACTACATAAAGGCTTCCGATTGTGTGGATCATGACAAGCTATGGGCAATATTGCAAACGAAGTATGAGTATTCTGGAACACTTGTTTGTGCTCATGAGGAACCTGGACATGGACCAAGAGGCAATTGTTCAAACAGAACAAGGGAACACTGAATGGTTTAAAATTAGGAAAATTTCACCATACTTACTCAGTCTGTGTGCTGAGCAAAAAAGCTGGATTATATAAAGACAAATCATGAGGATTGAAGGAAGACTCATTAACAACCTGTGATATGCAGATGATACAACTTTGCTGAAAGCAATGAGGACTTCAAATTCTGAGCTTGACCCAGGACCGGGCAGTGCTGCGTTCTGTTGCTATGAGTTGGTACCGACTCGATGGCACCTAACAATAACAACATGTGAAAAATAGTGAATGATGCAGAAAACATCAAAAGAAAATGGAAGGAATATGCATTTGCAAAAAACAAGTCTTCTGAATTAGATATAATATAAACTGAAATTGTTCAACAATCTGATGCTGCACTGGAGGCACTCACTCATCTATGCCAAGAAATCTGGAAGACCTGGCTAGCCGATTGGAAGAGATCTATATTTGTGCCTATTCCAGAGAGGTGACTCAGTGGAATGCGGAAGTCTTTGAACAATTGTCATATTACATGCAAGTAAAATTTTGCTGAAGGTAATTAATGGGGGCAACAGGTGCCAGAAATTCAGGCCAGATTCAGAAGAGAAGGTGGGACAAGGAATCATTGCTTGTGTCATATGGATCTTGGATAAAAGCAGAGAATACCAAACAGATGTTTCCTTATTCTTTATTGATTGTGCAGAGGCTTTCAACTGTGTGTATCCTGACAAATTGTGAAGAACAGGTATTCCAGAACATTTAATTATGCACGTGAGGAACCTGTACACAGACCAAAGAGACAGTCATGAGAACAGAACAAGGGAATACTGAATAGTTTAAAATCAAGAAAGCTGTGTGTCAGGGTTGTGTTCTTCCATCATACCTATTCAGTCTGTGTGCTGACCGAATAATTTGGGAAGTTGGATTTTATGAAGAAGAACATGGCATCAGGATTTGAGGAAGACTCATTAGCAACTTCTGATATGCAGGTGATACAACCTTACTTGCTGAAAGTGAAGAGGACTTAAAATACTGATGAAGATTAAAAGACTTAAGTATGAATTACACCTCAGTTTAAAGAAAACAAAAATCCTCACAATTGGACCAATAGATAATAACATGATAAATGGAGAAAAGATTGAAGTTGTCAAAGACCATTTTGTTTGGATCCTCAAGCAACATTCATTAAAGCAGAGTCAGAAAATTAAATGGTGTGTTGCATCAGGCAGATCTTCAAAAGTCCTCATTAAAGTGTTTTAGAACAAAGATAACCAGTTTAAGGTTATCTTTGTGTGCCAGATTTTCAGTTGCGTCATATGCTTGTGAAAGTTGGATAATTAATAAGGAAGACCATAGAAGAACTGATGTATTTGAATGATGGCTTTAGCTAAGTGCCATAGACTGCCAGAAGAACAAACAAATCTCTCTTGGAAGAAGTGTAGCCAGAATGCTCCTTTGTAGCTCAGAAAAGCAGACTCTATCTCTCATCTTCAGGACATTTACCAGTGATTTGTGCACATGAGCAAATCAGTCCCTGGAGAAAGGACATCATGCTTGGAAACCTGGAGGACCAACAGAAAAGAGGAAGACCCTCATCGAGATGGACTGGCACAGTGGCAGCCACAGCGGACTCAGACAAAACCATTGAGGAGGGCTTAGTGTAGAGAGTGGCTGAGTCCAAAGTCACTCCATGCCACTTAATAGGAACAACGTCTTTCCTTGAAAACGGACTGATCTCTAGTCCAAAGTTGAATGCCAACAGAGACATAAACCTAGTAGGAAAGATGGAAATAAACAATTGAATATAAATAGATCACGTTTGTTAATATAAAAAGTACTATAGCGTAGTGGGTATGAATCGGGCTGCAAACCTTAAGGTTCCTTAAGGTCAGCAGTTCGAAACTACCAGCTGTTCCATGGGAGAAAGATGAGGCTTTCTGCTCCCATTAAGATTTACAGCCTCGGAAACCCTGTACCAGGGTCGTTATGAGTCGGAACCGACTCCACGGCACATATCAACCACCACTACCACCACCATACTCAATTAAATAAACTAAACTAAGGAGCTCTGATAGCGTAGTGGGTATGAATCGGGCTGCGAACCACAAGGTCAGCAGTTCGAAACTACCAGCTGTTCTGTGGGAGAAAGATGAGGCTTTCTGCTCCTGTAAAGATTTA